ATATGCGGCACCCTATAGATGTTACAAATGAAAAACAGTAAAAATTATTAACAATGTTTATGCGTTACATATCAACATACAAAAATAATGTACTTTCTTTCCATCTTTGAGCAGAGGTAATATAAAAACCGTTTCTTATTTATTAATGCTAATTTACAATTATTTATATCGCGTATAATAAATCTCACTTTAATTAAAAAAAAAACAATTAATTTATAAAAACATTATCATTATTTTCACTTAATAATGTAACCGAATTATGTTGAATCCTATTAATTAGTGATTATAATAATACGGAATAAGATACGTATGGTAATTGTGTAAAGGAAAGAAAATTTATGGGTTAAAACATTATTTTAATTGTATATGATCACTTTAAATCAGCTTAATCTCAATTCGGTAGGTAGTTTTACTAGTTTCACATTACCATAAATTAGGTTTTATGATTGTTTTGTCTTCTGTGAAGTTGTTAATTTTAAATAAATTCGAATTTTATTTTAATTTATTTAAAACATCCAAACCATAGGTAGGTAAGTTAATAAGACATACTCCTAGATACTACATAATAGTCTAAGAGCTGGCTACATAAAAACCTTATCATCGTTACATGGCTAATTTTTTGTGTGAAGTATCCTTTTGTGTAGCCATTATGAAATAGCCATGTCCGCCAGCGCGATCCCGGGGTTTACAGCGGGGGCGGCCAATCGAAAGGGTGAAATTTTGACACTAAAAATTTTATAAGGTACACGAGTTATAATTACGAAAATAGCTTTTATTTATTATTAAGAAACGTGGAAAATTGTTGGCAGACATTTTTCTAGTCGCTAAAATGCCAACAGACACCGCGAAAGAAGCATGAAATTTTAAAAATTATTAAAAAACGAAATTTGAAGAATAAAAAAAATATGGCATACATGCATGCCGATTGGTGGAATGTCATATTTATTTATTTTAAAAGCAGTATGCAAAAGGGCAGACATAAAGATCGTGGCTAAATCGGCTGCAGACAGTTATCAAAAGCGCGATATTACTCTAGCGCTTTCAGGGAAGGCTCGCCTCATCCATTTAATCTATACTAATGTATAAAATTCTTAAGTGACTGACATACGGATTAATCACGATCCTGCTCAAACCACTCAACGTAAGAAGCTCAATTTTGGCATACAGGTTGATTCTAGGGTGTAGAGGTTCGATAAGAAAGGATTTTTCGAAATTCAAGTTCCAAGAGGGTGAAACCACCCCTCAAATATTACAATATTTTTTTATTTAAAAAATGGTCAAGTTTCCGAAAAAACGCTTAAACACGTATATTTTATTTTGTTTTTTACATATTTTAAGATTTTTTAAAAATGTATACAGGGTGTCATGAATTAAGCACGATCATGCTTAAAGCGCTTGACGTAAAAAGCTGATTTTTGGAAAACAGATTGACTTTAGGGTGTAGAGGTTCGATAAGAAGGGATTTTTCGAAACTCGAATTCTAAGGGGGTGAAACTATCCCTCAAATATTAAAATATTTTTTTATTTAAAAACCGGTGAGTTTTTCGGAAAAACTCTTAAACACGTATATTTTATTTTGTTGTTTTACATATTTTAAGATTTTTTATAAATTTATATAGGGTGTTTCATAAAATATGGTCATTGAGTAATTACTATTCTGCTTAAACTGCTTGATGTTTAAAGCTGATTTTTGGCAAACGGATTGACTGTGGGGTGTAGAGGTTCGATAAGGAGGTTTCTCGAATCTCAAATTCCAAGAGGGTGAAAACGCTCCTCAATTATTACAATATTTGTTATTTAAAAAACGGTTAGTCTTTCGGGAAAACGCTTGGACAAGCATAATTTATTTGTTTTTTTACATATTTTGAAATTTTTTAAAAAATCATTCATCATTTGGAACAGGGTGTTCCAAAAAGTTGGGTAATTTCTTAACCACGATTCTGCTTAAACTACTTGACGTAAAAAGCTTATTTTTGGCAAACGGATTTTTCGAAAGTCAAATTCCAACGAGATGAAACTACCCCTCAAATATTACCAAGTTATATAATAATATCGCCATATTGTTTTTTCTCCTGCTGAAATAAATGTGAGAAAATTTTATCCAGTTTGTATGTTAATGGAAATTCTTGCTTTGCTTTATCATCACAATTACAAATTATTAATTCGACACGAACAAAGTCGCTGGTACACGCTAGTTATAGATAAATCATGTCATACGATTATATTATAAATATTTTTTTTATTATTTCAATAACAGATATCATATATTTGCTATTCTGTCTCACTATTTGTATCTGACTCATCCTACTGCAAATCATTGCTCTCGCAAACGAGTCTTCCTCTTCCTCTGAGTGATATCTGCACCGTAAAATTTGTGTTTTACATGTTGTTTTACAGTTACATGGATTATGTTTCAATTGATAACGCGTCGAGCGTTTCCTGAAAACGCTTATAGTGGGTGAGCCTTAAATAAGTGCAGATACTTTTAAGGGTGATATATTTCGATCCTAGGAACATGTCTACGAGTTTTTTTTTTTCGCAAAAAAAGATGTAGAAAATGGTCCATTTTTAAAATTTTCTGAAAACTTCGTAAAACTGTCTATTCACCGCAAATTTACCTACAGCCTACAGTATAATTATTTCTTAACATATCATGCTTACGGCTTGCTCTATAACTACGACACTAAAAGAATGGATGCAAATACAGAAAAAAACAGGTAGTTCGTAAAATTATTTAAAAATAAATCAATTTTTTAAATTTTCAAATTTGAATAACTCGGTTATTTTGGACTTATGTAAAAAACGGTAAAAAGAAAATATGTTTCTTTTATCGAGATCTACCAGCTCTGAAAATATTTGCACTTTTCAAGATTTACTCTGTAGAGTAATATAAACTGTGATATCTCGAGTATAATATCGCGCTTTCGATAACTGTCTATCGCTGATTAAGCTACGATTTTTTGTCTGTCCTTTCGCATTCGGCTTTTTAAATAAATAAACAATAAACATGACATTTTACCTTGGAACTTTTTGAGTATTCGGTTATACATTTAATCGATGATTTTTTTTTTGTCAAAACTCCATTTTATTTTTCAGAAACTATTAGAGCCAGAGTTTACCAAAAAAATATCTACTAGTGGGTAAATGAATTTGTAGAAATATTACGAATTTTCTTGGAACTTTAGTTTCGGAGATATTAATTTAATCGGACCTTTTTAAGAAAATTAATTTTATTTTTCAGAAACTATTAGAGACAGAGTTTACCAAAAATGCTTTTTATATCTACTAGTGGGTAAATGAATTTCTAGATATATTACGAATTTTCTTGGAACTTTAGTTTCGGAGATATTAATTTAATCGGACCTTTTTAAGAAAATTAATTTTATTTTTCAGAAACTATTAGAGACAGAGTTTACCAAAAATGCTTTTTATATCTACTAGTGGGTAAATGAATTTGTAGATATATTACGACTTTTCTTGGAACTTTAGTTTCGGAGATATACATTTAATCGGACATTTTTAAAAAAAATAATTTTATTTTTCAGAAACTATTAGGGACAGAGTTTACCAAAAATGCTTTTTATATCTACTAGTGGGTAAATGAATTTGTAGATATATTACGACTTTTCTTGGAACTTTAGTTTCGGAGATATACATTTAATCAAAAATGTCTTTTTGATGTATTTTGTTTTGATGTATGCGATGATTTTTTTTGTCAAAACTCCATGCCTCTTTCGGGTTGTCTGCCGGTATTTTAGCCACGAGAAAAATGTCTGTCAACAATTTTACACGTTTCTTAATAATAGATTTAAGCTATTTGGCAATTATATCTCGTGTACCTTATAATATTTTTAGTGTGAAAATTTCACCCTTTCGATTGGCCGCCCCCGCTTTAAGCCCCGGGATCGCACTGGCAGACATTACTATTTCACAATGGCTACACAAAAGGATACTTCACAAGAAAAATTAGCCATGTAACGATGATAAGGTTTTTTATCTAGCCAGCTCTCCGTCTATAATACTATTCGAAAATTACATTGTATAATTTTCTTGAAAAGACTTCTGAGGTGGAAATCTGTAATAATATTGTAATACGCTTTTATTTCTGAGATCTTCTATAATAAATTAAAATTCTCAGTAAATTTATTGCCGCGTCTTGGACGAGCTACATACATATATAGATAACGCTAAGCCTAAACTATTTCCACAGATGCGTTTACAGCTTTGTCTTTTTTACTTAAATTTAGTTCTTCTTTTAAATTTATTTGATTATTTTTTAACTTGTTACGTTTTTTGTATATTATATTTTTGTAACTTCAAAATTAAAGACTTTAATAAAAAAAAGAAAAATAATTGTTTTATTGTGTAGATAAAATGTTAATTGCAGTTATTACATCGCCTTGTATTGACGCCACGTTACGCCGCTGCCGTTGACGTTGTCTTAATATTATTTTATTTTCTGGCAATATTGGTTGAAATTTACTGATATTTCATTGCCAAAAGTAGTTTATATTTATTAATAGAATTTTTACATCCAGTCTCTTGAAACTGACTACTTTTTTTAAAGATCTGTTTGCAGATATTTATTTCTCAAGAAATCTACGTGACATTCTATATAGGTAGGGGAAACCGGGGGAATCTCGCGCCCGGGGGAATACCGCGCACGTCGCTGTAGTAAAAACTGCAACTAGTAATACACAGGTTTGAAGCTGGAAGTGTTGCATAAGCCATATGAAGTTTGTTCCAAAAGTTTGGAATAATTACCGGCAGTCGTTAACCAATAACGAACATTTTAGTGCTAGACACAATAAAAATGTAAGTACTTTTGTTAAAATAAATTTTTATGTTAAAAAACGGCTCCCGAGGAAATACCGCGCAGTGAAATCGCGCCCTAAACAACACTCAAAGATTTTGACAGCTACTACACTTAAATCAGAATTGGAAACTATGGAAGAAAAAAGAAGAGCGAAAAGAGAAAAAAAGAAGCAAGCAATGTAAATATGAAGGAAAAGAGAAGAGACAAAAGGCAGAAAAGCGAAGCAAATATTGTATTGAAAAAAAGAAAACTCTCAACAACTTTACAAAGTAAAAAAATCAACAAGAAGCCAAAGCACATTCGCAATGTTAAGTTTGCTGACGATGATACTGAACCTGAGAGTTATTCTGAAAGCGAGCTTTGTGTTGATGATGACTTAGACGACGTTGATCCTTTCCCAACCCATGAAGATGACATCTGTTTAATTTGCGGAGAGTTTGGAAGGGACAACGAGGTCTGGTGTCACTGTAATTCCTGCTCAAAGTGGGCCCATGCTGCTTGTATGAGAAGTAGTGGAAAGGAGAAAGAAAAAATCTACCTTTGTGACTTCTGTTGCTAGGTAACAGTTTATTTTTTATATAAATATCTGCGTGTTGTGTTAGAATGTGTTTTTTATTTTAATATACAATATTGTATCTTTACTTTTGCTCTCACTATCATCTTTTTTTATTATTTGAGTTATCTATATACCTGTATTTTATGTACAATAAAGTCTTAGTTAAACTGCCTTAAATACCTCAATGCGAACATGCGCGGTATTACCAAAAAGCCCGGGTAGCGTATTTCCATAATATACCATGTAGAGAACATAGGGTCTCTAAGTCCCGCCTCCATGCATTGAAGATGTCTCTAACGCGGTATAGAATGGAATAGGATATTGCGCCAAATGCAGTATACTATGGAGTCGGCTTCTCAGCGTTACAATGTGATATAAGCCACGTGAGCATTCATTATCACTTCTTGCATTTTTGCATTGAATTAGCCAGTTTGTGACTGTTGCGAATTCTAAACAAGCATCAGGATGACAGAGCAATGTACGTTACAGATTATGTTAAAAAATATAAAACCTGAAATAAAATTCGCGATGAGAATAGTGATTCAGCTTCACAAGAGTCAACAGCTGGATATTCATCAAAAAACAGTGCTGTAAGTAACGCTATATCTATATTTGTCGGGCCTCTAGAGTTTAAGGAAGACAGTTTTGAATCTCATGCTTTATTAAAAACAAATATGGAAAAAGGCTAGGTTTAATACAAAAACAGAAAAGTAATCAGATGTTTAGAAATATTAAAACGGTATACTAATGTCACATATTGACACAGAGCAGCAGTTAAAAACATTTCTCACAAATACTACAGTAAACTATAAAAAAAACAAGTATATTAAAGTACCACCAAGAGCTTTATCCAGAAGAACTTATGGTTCGCAAAGAAGAAGGCAATCAGGAAGACCATCAGAAGAGATCAGACTAAAAAAGAAAAAATGGTGCTTGAGGAAATATATTACCGAAAATACTCCAAAATACCAAAGGACATGCTAAATATTGCAGTCTAACAGGAAATAGCAATGTTTATTTTTTTAAGTATCTGATATTTTAAAGAAATTAATATAATATACATTATTTAATATATAAATGTTTTTTTTTCATTTTTTGTAGCCATGTTTTTAAAGTAATGATAAAGAATAGATACATACTAGGTTTACATAAATGAATATTACTGTTTATTCTATCAAAAGTTACGTTACTAGTAATGCGACTACGAACTATACCCGATTTTGGCGCATTTCCCAATTCCATTCTATACCGCGTTAGAGACATCTTCACTGCTGAACTAAGCTTGAGGGCGGGGCTTAGAGACGTTATGCTCTCTACATGGTATATTTTGGAAATACGCGCCCGGGTAATACCGCGCAGTCACACATTTTTATTTTTTTGTGTTAATAGATACAACAAAACAAAAATGTTTAATTTTCGATGTTGCAATAGTTTGTATATTGTATCAATATTCCTCATACAAAAAATTACCTCATAAAAAATTACATCAATCTAGGAGCTATTTTGCTTATGTGCGCGGAATTCCCCCGGCTTCCCATAAGTATCTCACATTGTAAAAATTTCTCTATAATAAAGAGTTCAGTTCAGTAAATTTCATTTTATTCCCTGTTTTCTAGATTTGATCTGTCAAAAAAGATTTTTACGAAAATACGTAAAATCGTGGGAATCTCAGCAAGGGTTGCATAGGGTGATTTCGATTAGCCATTTACCTAGGGTTAAGTACAAAGGAAATCAGTTGGATTTTTTCAGATTATTGCAATTAAGGGTGTCATACGGTTAAAATTATAGGTTTGGTTTGGTCCGAACCAAAGGAATTTATCCGAACCAAAGGAATTTACTTCAAGTAAAAATAGTGTTTAATTTCATATAAAATGAATAAAATATAAGCTTGGTACATTCTCCGCCGGTGCTGCCACCATCGGAGAATATCCTAAACAACTAGTACATACAAATACACGGGTTTAAATAGCGAGTATACAGGGTGCTACAAATTCGAGGTACGAGCATTGGTATCTTGGTAACCGTAACACGAAGATGGTTAAATTGGGGCAAAGTTGCGCCTTGGAATGTTCACCAAAATGCCATCAAAAAAGTTTTAAAAATTTCAAGGATTGCTGAGTTTTTTGGAAAAAACGGATATTTTTGAAAATCAATTTTATTTTTTCCTGTCGTTAGTTTTTAGAAAATCAAAAAAGTAATTGCACATTCTCATAGCCACTTTATTAGGGCTAATTTACAACTTTAAGAAACACCTCACTGTAGTATTGAGTAATAAAAAGGATTGGAAGAAAGAGACGCTTACTCAGCATATAAAAGACCATACCATCATGTGGTATACGGATGCTTCCAAAACCAAAGCAGGGACAGGGATAGGAGTATTTGGGCCGAAAACTGAATACTCCGAACCAATGGGCAAATACCCCAGTATCCTTCAGGCAGAAATTTGCGCTATCGAAAGATGCGTACAATTTATCTTAGATAGGAACTATCGAAAACAGGAAATTGCCATCCTATCCGATAGTCAAGCAGCATTTAACGCGATCAACTCAGTAACCATCAATTCGAAGTTGGTCAAAGAATGCCTGGAGAAGCTCAACAAATTAGGCAAAGAAAATAAAGTCCTCCTACTCTGGGTGCCCGCTCACCAAGGGATAGAAGACAATGAAAAAGCAAATGATCTAGCTAGAAAAGGAGCGAACACTCCACTAACTGGACCAGAACCGTTCTATTTTCCAAACGGGAACCAACTGAAAGCGGAACTGAAGAATCTGGAAGACTCCATCCGTTGCTTCCGGAATGGGTGTCCTCCAACGGTCTAAGACACTCGAAAAAGTTCCTTAGAACTTATGATCGAGAAAAATCAAAGGTTTTCCTTGATTTAAGTAAAAACAATCTTCGGATTGTCACGGGGTTTCTAACAGGACACTGTCTCCTCAACGAACACCTCAGTAGGCTGAAACTGAGAAACAACGGCGAATGCAGATTTTGTGGGGAAAATGGGGAAACACCAGAACACCTTATCACTGAGTGCGCCGAGACGACGACCATTCGTGCCATGAACCTTGGTACGTCTGATGTCGAGGATGGAGAGCTGGCCTCTGTGGAGCCGTCTCAGATACTGGCTTTTCTTAAAGCCCTGAGACTGTATGATGAGTTATAACACGTTATAACTCAAGAAAGAGGAACACACAATAGATCTATAAGGTCGCGGTGATTAACTCCCCTCCTAAACATTCTACATTCTACAGGGCTATCTGCTAGTATTTTTAGATTTTCAAATTAGCTGATAATTTGTGAGATACAGAGGCTGACTTAATTTTTTTAAATACGGACCTGCGTTTTTTATTTCAGATTTTGAAAGAGCTCGGTCTCCTGAGTACAATGGTATGCCACACTTTATACTTTTTTTTTGTTTCGGACATTTAAACACAAAATTTATTTAAACTAATTTCAAGTCCGGCTCTGTTTTTTAAATATTTAAATTATTCATCGTTACAATATTGATAAGTCTTCAAATTTAACTATGACATGGGGTAAAACATTGAATACGAAAAATCAAATTCAATAAAAAAAAAAAATAATCGCATTACTTGACGTCATTTGTAAAAGTGAAATCAATATTTTTCAACATTTACAATAAAGACTAAAGAGTACAAAATGCATTCGGAAGTATAAGAAGAAGATATGTTCAAAGAGCTATAAATAAAATTGAAAGAATAATAAATTTGTGCAATAGGCAAGATGGTAAATCTTTCGAACATGTAGATCATTAGAAACTAGTTTGTAGAAGGTGATTTATTTATAATAACTACGATTAATATTATGCATATTGTTAGATCATACACTGAGATTTTCAACTTCACAATAAAAAAAGTTAAAAATAATATCTTTAAATTACTGAGCTGGATATTATTTATTTGAATCTTTCAATTGGCTCGATTTTCCTAATTCAATGTTAATTAGCGCTGATCAATATTGTTGCAAATATAATCAGATTAAATATTTTAAGAAACCAGGGTCGGACTTGAAAATATTTTAAATAATAATTAAATAGTTTTGTTGTTGTTATGGTACCCAAAACAAAAAAAAAGTATAAAGTGTGGCATATCATTGTACTCAGGAGACCGAGTTCTTTCAATAACTGAAATAAAAAATACAGGTCCGTATTTAAAAAAATGAAGTCGGCCTCTGTATCTCACAAATAATCAGCTCATTTGAAAATCTAAAAATACTGTCAGATAGCCCTAATAAAGTGGCTATGAGAATATGAAATTAGTTTTTTGATTTTCTAAAAAGTAACGAGAGGAAAAAATAAAATTGATTTTCAAAAAAATCCGTTTTTTCCAAAAAGCTCAGCAATCCTTGAAATTTTAAAAACTTTTTTGATAGCATCTTGGTGAACATGCCAAGGCGTAACTTTGCCCCAATTTAACCATCTTCGTATCTATTACGGTTTCCGAGATACCAATACTCGTACCTCGAATTTGTAGCACCCTGTATACGAAAAATTTATTATGTGATTATCTAAAACTTTTGTCTGAAAATAGATTATAATGGAATTAGGGAGTTAGGGACAATTTTAAAAATAACTAAAGTTTTTTTTTAATATCTAGTAAGTTCGTGGCTCATTAGAGATGCGATTATCTACAACTTTTATCTGAAAACTTTTTACCTAAAATATATTATAATGGAATTAGGGGCAATTTTTAAAATAGCCAAAATTTTTTTTTTTCGAAATATCTAGTAAGCCGTGAACTTTTTCAAAAATCTGAAAGGTACATATTTATGACCCCACAAAACTGTAATTCTTTCCCTATTTAAACGACTCTCTATCTCGAGAAGTTTCCGAGATACCCATTGAGAACATCGTAGAAAGCTCACCCTGTGTACGAACATTTCCAAGTTAAATGAAATCTTATAAAATACGAAAAAAAACCGTTTTCTTTGAACGATCCTCGTCTGAGGAACGGAAAGGGAAATAAGAAAAACGTGGCTTTAATTTG